TGAGTTGTTTCCTGCTATTATTTATGGGCCCCTATGCAATAGATATACAGTGAGAACATAAACTGTTACCTCTCTCCTCTATTACAGTCTGTTCGCTATACTTACGCGGGTTTCGGAATAACAAAATTATGCAAATTAGTCATTGACAACCAGTTCCAATAAGCCTCCTCCCAAGAAACTAGGTAAAATTGCCCTAATGGTCAGATTTAAATTAAAATAACATTAGGGTAGGTACTAAATTTGTTACAAATATTGCAGTTGAATTGATTCTTTGCAAGTGTTGACACTGTATGTATATTGTAAATTTAGTGGAAATTTTAAAAATTCCTAGACGTGTGTTAGATGTAGATAGCCTAATTTGTAGTGTACATAAATATTTTACGGATGAAAAAGAAAATGGCGGTCCTTTAAAATCGGTAATATCTGTACAACAACGGGTATGCGATGCTCTAGGAATTAGTGAAACCAAATTAAGAGGAGTATTACAAAATCACAATAGTGAACTGCCGAAAGAAGATCACCGCAAAACTCGCCCATCATTGAAAACGAAAGATATTCCAGATGGAAAGAAATTTGAAATTCGTGATACTATTTATCGAATGAGAACCAATCTCTCGGAATTAATAGAAAATTTGACCGACATTGCCAGAACAAGTCTATAGCAAGTGATACATAACTTGGGTTTCAAATTTCAAAAACAGGATAACAAAAAGGCCCTTTGTGAAAGATATTCTGTCGTGCACAAGAGAATTAACTTTCTAAGAAAATATTCTAAATTTAAAGAAGAAGGGGCGAATTTTATATATTTAGACGAAACATGGATATTTTCTAGGGTGCAACCAAGAGAATATGGCAATATGATAACGTAAAGTCCATCAAACATACCGATGGAGAAGGGAAGCGACACATAATTTTACATGCAGGAGGGAAATCGGGTTTTATAGAAGGTGCTGATTTAATATTTTCATCTAAATCAAAATCCAGTGACTATCACGATAATATGAACACAGAAATGTTTGTAAAATGGTTGCATGAAAAACTTCTCCCAGATTTAAGTGAGCCCAGCGTAATTATTTTAGACAATGCACCTTACCATTCTGAAGTATTAAACAAGAGTCCAACGAATTCTTGGACTGTTGATAAAATTAAAGAATGGTTGACAAAGGAACATATACCATTTCCTCAATATATATTAAAATCAGAATTATTACGCAAAACCAAAAACCTTTGTTGTGGATCAGAATATTGAAAGTTTTACGTCTGCCACCGTATCATTGCCAGTTTAATCCCATCGAATATATATGGGGAATAGCAAAACAATATTATGACAACCATATTGGGCCTAATGGTTATAGTGACGACGCAGTTCGGGAAACTTGGCGAAAAGCACTTTCAATTGCAACTCCAGAAGTGTGGCGGAACTGTATATCCAAGTTCGAGAAACTAATAGAAGATTGGTGGACTCGTGAAAATAAAATAAACGAAATAGTCCAATCATAATAACAATTAATGGTGATGACAGTGATGATGATGATGAAGCACATTTCTACAATAAAAAATGTATGCTGATATATCATTTAAAAGGGTTAAGAAGCATCTTAAATTTATTTGAATATATTTAAAATTTGAAATAAACTCATATTAAAAGGTCTCTTGAAATGTTATATCTCTTTCATAATACAAATTTAATGTTTAAATTATTTTAAATGTGCTCTATTATGTAGTTTTTGACTAAAATATATTTAAAATGTGAAATAATCTAAACAACATTAAGCGAAAATAAAAATCTCTAAATCAGTATCACATAAAAAGTTAACAAAAGCATTTTAATAATAATTATTGCTTTAACTCATTTAGATAAAGGAAATGAAAACCATATTTTGATGAAACGAAAATTATAACGAATTTCTTGAAGCAGGAACTACGATGTTTTTACCATTAATTGATAAGATTACAACTAAACTATTAAAATTAAGATTTAAGTTACCAAAATAACCTCTTTAAGTGATAAAGATGTGATAAAAATGTTGTTTAACACTAATCAATAATAAATAAGACATATTCCTGATACACCGTTGGATCCTAGGAAAATAAGAGAATCTAGAAAATGCGTTACGGATTTTTATGGGTAAAACAGTAAATGACTGCTCATGCGTTTTGGACGTTTAAAAGAAAGAGTTAAAATGTATTTAAGATTAACCTTACTATGTTCCAAATTAAGAAACTTTCAGGTCTTCTTAAAGATCTTAATATAACAGAAATAATTGAGTTTTTGCTGCAGATAAGTTAAGAACAAAGAAATTAGTTGGTTAAAGTGCAACGGTTATTCTGTTAGTGGTATCATAAATAAAATTTTAATTTTAAATATCTTCAAATAGTTTAAGGATATATCAATACCGATGATATCGGTATCGGCCCAATAAAAATATCAATTAAATAATTAAATATTTCAGTTGCTAAGAATTAAAATCTAAAAGGAATAGAGTAAGTTAAAAACATATATTTTTTTAACATTTAAAGACAAGTTTTGGGGCTTAATTCACTAACCAGTGTTTTTGAAAGCACTTTGCGCGTGTATTTGAAAAACGTAAAGATCTTTCAAAAAAGTTACACTGAGTAGCATTTTGCTGTTCGCATTTAAAGATTTGACATTAAAGGCTAATATTTACGGACGAAGATAAGTTAAACATTAAAATATGGACCTAAATATTATTAGGCCACCTTCAAATTTATTTTTTATATATCAGTATTAGTCTTCTTCCTGTATGGTGAAGATTTACTTGCCGGTAATTTCTTGAAAGATATTCCAAAATAAACCTTGGTAAATTGAATCAGGGACATCATAAACCTCTTGGTTTCCCTAATTTGATTTCTTAACAATCTTTTCAAATAAAATTTTCATTGAATTAGAGAAAATATCAAAAATGAAAATCCTTTGATTTGGTGGGCACATAACTAAGACATTTTTCAACTATTACACCAACTAATGTGGCTAGTAAACAGCTATTCTCTTCAGCTGGTATTGATTAAAGGTTGAGACCGGTCGTATCTCTGAAATACTTGAAGTAGATCGCAGAAGCAGGTCGTTTTTATTTTAAGGGAAAAACCTTTCTATAATATCTTTAACTGTCATCTGGCATTCCTCTCAACTCCGTCACTCTCACCAGTACACAAGGGCTTACTCAGCGAGGGTTGCTGCTGCCCCCTAGACACTAGAATTTTATAATAAAATAAAAATCATAAACCTAAAGTAAAAAAAATATAAAAAAAAACAATCAAAATAAACCACTACTGTACTACAAAATAGAATGTTGTTATTAATGACTAATATATATAAAAAAAAAGAAAAACGATTGTTCGTTTTTTATTGGTTCTTCCCCCCTCCCCTAGTTGCCGGTACAATTTTAAATAGGGAAAGTACCAAGCATGGTACATCATCGAAAACGTAATTTTATTGACAATTCAGCACTATGACTGTTCATTACGTTGCTTTTAATTTTAACGCCCTCTAGCAGTATAAAAAACTGTTGTAAAAAGTATTGTAAAGGGTGACACTTCATTTGAAAGCTAATTTTATTAGTAATAAAATGCATTACATTAACCTAAATATCTCCATATTGCACTTGTAACAAAATAAAGTTAGGAATAAAGGAAACTTTTTCTTTTCATTTTAAGATCATTTTTGGTTTAGTTAATATAATAGTGTTTACAATACGTAACAGTATTTTATCCCACTAGAGGGCGTTAGAATGAAAAGTAACGCAATGCATAGTCATATTGCTGTATTTACCATAAAAATGCATTTTTAATGGTACTTTCCCTCTTTACATTGGTGTGATTAGATTGACGAAGGGGAGAGAAATGACATATGACAGTTGAGGATACTATAGAAAGATGTCCTCGTTGAAATAAAAATCGACCTGTTCTAGCGTTTTTTCAAAAAAATTCTACTTTAAGATGGTCTGAGATACGGCCGGTCGCTATTCTTAATGAATCACCCTGTATATGAAAGCACAGAAAATCCTCAAACCACAAAAAGAGCAGAAGGTTTAATTTTGTTCCATTTTAACGAATGATGAAGTTTTTTTAAAGACGGTATAAAAAATAAATATTGCCCTTGGCTAAATTAATTGAAGAAACTAAATAGTTGTGTCTATGTTAGGTATGTACCTATATCATGAAGACTTAATTAAATATTTACCGACATCAGTACCTGGGACGTAAACTGAACTATATCGTACTATTATTTATAGAAGCATGTTGGAGGTATATGATAGAAGACACTATGTCATAGAAAAATTGTTATAAGAACATAGAGATGTTACCAAAACTAACAAGTCATGGATATTAAAAAAAAGTTTTATTAGTTAGATTACACCGGCACACAAAAAAACAGTTGTTTGTACATTAGACACGACCTACCTACCGGCATGTATTTTGACCCGCTGAATCCGAATTTCAAGTCATTTTGGGCCGTCCACCCTTCAAGGGAGTAGTGAAAATCATTAATAGTTGTAGTGCTTGCAATCAATATGATATTGATAATAATAACTACACAGTGATCTTGGCGCTTGTACAAACTTTTAAACCGAGTTTACAAACGATAAAACTATTGGAAAAAAGTGAACACCCTTTTTAAATTATCACCAGCCGCCACTGCTATCATATCTACTCTTGTTGCACAAACTAATATTTTACCACAACTAAATTATTACCGCGCTCTATCAATTTCACAGCCAGCTCCATTTTTGACATATTATTGTCAATCTTAAAATTCCCAACCCTTTCATATCTAAACCTAACACTATACAAAATTATAGACCTACAATAAGATAAACGCATTCTATTTTTAGAACGGTTCATATAATATTTTACGAGCATACAAAATTAACGAATTAAAATCGTAAACAAGATTCGCATGCAACAGGGATTAAGCCATATTCACATCTGACATATACATTTGTTAAATGATGACAAACTCGTTAACCGGTATCTCATACCTGGCACTGATAACAGCACGAAGAAACAGAACGGCACAAAAACAATACCGATTAATACAAGAAAACAGTTGCGCTTCCTGAGAGGCGACATAGTCAAATTCACCACGGACATTGTCTTCGCACTGGCTGAAGGGAGGGAACAGCAACGCCACCGAGTTGATCACATATTTCACTACTGATTGGACTTGGAAATGATTAAAATGGAAATCCCTTTCAGTGAGAAGTGACCCCCGTGTGGCAGCGCGACGTTTAATCGAACACCGCGATGTGTTAGATACGATGCGGGTTTGAAGTATGACTAATCGCGGAATAGCGGTAAATATACTTATATAAAGGTCGCGTCGTGGATTCAGCACGCGGCTACGATTCGAATCGAAACAGAACGAACCGCGCCTCCCTGAAGAACACTTGTATTGATCTGGTGCGAAGTTGTCTATGCCCGTGTCGTCGACGAAGACCACGTGGTTACTTTCCATTAATAATGAAGACGGATTTCATTCATATTCCGCACCAGATGTTTACTGAAGAATTTTTTTTATGAAAACAGATATGGTATCCAAGAATTGGTCGGTGTTAGGGTAAAAAATCAGTGATATCATCTGATCCAAATTCAGATATATTCTTAAGATGTGTAAGAATGTTCGAAATCAAAATAATAAGACTTTCCCACTAAGCAAAAAAACATTCGCTGCAAATTTATTGCAAGGTTACAAAGTTTCCTTGCAAGTTTGTTAAATATTTATTGATAGCATTCGGCAAGTTTGAATCTGCTTCACTCTAAACTTTAAAAATTAAACTTAATAAGCCATGCTTAATGGAAACTTACGAAATTAACTTATTGCTTATTAACATACAATAAAAAACGTACTTAAAGTTTCAATATAAATATTATCTAAGATTGATTAACTTTTGATCCGATTGTTATATTATGGAGTGTTTAAAAAGAAATATTTACCCCAACGGAATATATTTATTTATGTATTTATAAAATTTACTTTATCACCCTGTAGAATGAAAATTGGGATGTTTACACGAAAATTATATTTAGCGTTACTTTATTCCGAAACACTTTGTATGAGTATCTATAACAAAATCAAGAGGAATATACAAATTGGAAAATCCATATAAACATTTTTTTTTAGTTATTTTTCCAAGTAACAGAAACCAATGAAGAATTTTGTATTTAAGTTGATATCTACTTAAAAAATGTAGTTTGTGATTACAATTATCTAAAATGCAATCAAACCATTTGAATCCTATACAAGTGCATTAAACATTCAGTAATAGTTTTACTAGCATAATGAACGCATATAATATAATATTATTTACAGTATTAGCCACTTTGGGATCATTTTCTTGTTCCCAAAACCTGGATTGTATTGTCAGCCAGTTTTCTCAACTAAAGTCAGTAATACGGTCGTGTAAATATATCATTGTTTCCAATCTTACAGTACCAGCCAAAACAACTTTAGAACTTAATCTGTTATCAGGAACAAGTCTAGTTTTTGAAGGAAGAACAACGTTTGAATACGCCGAATGGCCAGGACCTCTTGTTAAAATTCACGGAGATAATGTAACAATTAAAGGAGCTCCTGGTAAGTTTTTAATATTATACTTAATAATAATTTTAAAATGTCTATTTTTTCTATGTCACTCATCTTGGTGCCTGCTGTTGATTGCGCATAAAGATATACCTTAGTCTTCACGTCGGAAGTATACCTTTTATTAATCTTCAACTTTTGTGTAATTTCTTGCTCTATTTTCAAATCTGGCAACACCGCTTTGCAATCTAGCGCAGCTTTGTTCTTAAAATAATAAAGTAGTATATTGTCAAATTAATTATTTTATTTGCAAATCTTAGTGGTAGATGCATGTAGTTTTTGAATGCCTCCTACAATAATTACGACGCCACTGACAAATCGGCCATTTCCAGAAAATTAGTCGCTAAAAATTGGTCGCTAAGTTCACACCGGTGTTTCTGTCCACCGGAGTATACTCAAGTATTATAGACTCTAGCTCTAGAGAGCCAAGTATTCTTGATTCTATTGAACTGTATCATTCCAGATTCGGTACTAGATGGTCAAGGCGCCCTTTACTGGGATGGTCAAGGAGGAAATGGGGGCAAAAGAAAACCGAAATTCATTCGAATTATAGCTACTAATTCTAATTTCGAAAAAATCAATTTAATCAATTGTCCAGTACATTGTGTAACAATATCTCATAGCAACAATATAACGATTCGACATTGGAATATTGATGTATCAGATGGAGATAAGGTAGGATTTTTTTTATTTACTAACAATAAATAAAAGTATTGATAAATTGTTTACTGTGTAGGTAAAATAGAAAAAAATATATTTTTTAAGTACCTTTATAAAACAATTTAGATTAAATAAATTACAGCAAACCAATGAATATTGTTATTAATTTGAATATGAGTCATATTACGTACCTATAGAATCTTGACCAATTTTTTTTGCAGGTTCGTCTCGTACATAGCAAATTTAAGTGGTAAAATTAGGCCAAATACTGAATGTTTACTTCATTCTTCATCTAATTCTATCTAATTACTTACTTTTTGTTACAGAATAATTTTACTGGCCACAACACCGACGGTTTTGATGTCACCAGAGTCCAAAACGCAGTAATAGACAACTGCACCGTCCAAAACCAGGATGACTGCATTGCTATAAACAAAGGATCAAATATACGTGTGTCAAATATGTACTGTTCAGGTGGACACGGTCTTAGCTTGTCTGTTGGCACCAGCAATACTCATTTCAAAGAAAACGTTGTTACTAACGTCACGTTTATCGACAGTATTGTTCATAGATCAGCCAATGGTATTCATCTGAAAACCCATGTTGATAGTGGTCTAGGATTGATCAGTAATATCTTATATGACAACATACATCTGACGGGTAACTATTTACTTAGTAATGGTCAGTCTTTTTGTTTTTTCATCTCTAAGTAAAGTTGAAAGTATCAGAAATAACAGTAGTCACTTTTTCAGAGTGTTTAGGAGGTGAAAAATATTTTGAACTTGAGCCACGACTGTCATATAACCAAGGATATAATTATACGGGTTCTTTCTGTGTTAAACGTTTGTTCGCCCCCTTTAAATTCATAGATTAAGGCCAGTACAGGTGAACTGTAGGTATGTGACCAAAATTGACCAATAATTGACGTTCTATTGACGTCAATTACGTTTTGGTGGCTATCTGGGTATTACGACTCTATAAATATCAAGAGATTACCTCGTTTTATCTTAATCCAGTTTTTTATAGCATTAAATTTTTATTGTTTAATAAAATATTGACTTATTTTTAACTCTTGCTCATCTAATGCTTTCAGACATTACAAATTTTGGTATAAACGTACAACAAGACTATTCCAATGGATCATCAACAGGCGTACCAAAAGGCAACATTCCTATTGTTAATTTCACTTTAAATAACATTAGTGGAAACATGAAAAGCTTCAGGGAATCCCCAACACTAGCGGTTAAAATACTATGCGGCCAGGATGGATGTTCGGATTGGACTTGGAACGATGTTGTTATAACGGACGCACGAAATGCAAGTTATTGTAATTACGAACCTGTTGGATTTTCTTGTAAATAAATATAATACTGTCACGAACTCTCTGTTAGTGTATATTGTTTCTTTAATAAATGTATTAGCCTAACTACGTAAAGACTACAAAACGAAAAAGTATGTCATTGTAAACGAATATATTTCATATCCATTCTAGGTAGTGAGGACACTACAAAATCCACCAATCACAGTTCATATTTTGGACACCGAACTACTATTATTTTTATAATTTTAACACACACAGCAAACACTGGCACAATGATACATGCGAACAGTACTTGAAGTACCAGTAAAGCATTTGTATCAAACTATACTGCCGGCATCCCCGCGTCTTCGTGCAATATAGCTATCATATCCACTCTTGTTGCACAAACTACTCTTCGACTACTATTATAATATATTATAAAAAACAAATAATAAGGGTATGAAATGTTTTATTACAATATATTTTTTTGCGTTTTATGTTATTATTCTCAAAACAAGTGATAAATCACTTATCGATCATAAAATCTAATTTCATTTTATTATATTTTAAACGTATATTTTTATTTTTGATAATAAATTATATGTCTAAATAAATATATATCTAAAATATCCCAGATAAGCAATGAATCATATATTAGGGACAAGCGTACTTATTACGAACAATGCGGATACACGTGTTTAATACTTATTACCTTACTAATTCTATCTGATAATAACCACAAGATAAATGAATTTACAGTGCCTAACCAAATGGCAACGACCACAAGGTTAGTAAAATTCACGAATTTGTGTTAATAGATTAAAGTTTACAAATAATATTTGATAATGTGGGTCAGCGGTCAGTAGGTATACCTTCATAGTGAAAATAATAATGAATAAAACAATAATGAGCGAGTAGAAAACGAGTTGTTAGTCAACTAAAAACATTTTTCAGCAAATGGTTTAGCCTTTGTACGCAATAACTTTTCTGCAGCAGAGTACCGGTAATCGAATACAGAAAATAAATACATGGTGGCCAGACGAAAACGTATTAGAGCTATTATCAGAAACTGCGCCAACATTTTAGAAAAATGCTCGAATTTCTAATTCAAGGGAGACATTTTAAAGAACATGTTTGTACATTTTTGGCAGATTTTTTTAATTTACTTATCGATTATTTATGGCTACTGAAACCTTAAGTATCCCATTTTAAGGACACATCATATTTTGTCTATAAGTGCTCTTACTTTTAATCAATTTAGAAGCACATAAACAACATTTAGATTATATTGATTAAATCAAACGACAGGTAGTTTTTTTAATTGAACCGACGAAGAAACAACGCCGGCACACGTAACAATCATTAGTCATTTCTTTATTGGCTCGTCGCATGTTAATTAGACATAAAAAGTTACTAGACAAATAAATTTATCTAAAATTAGGCATATCCCTTTATGACGACCGCTATTATTACTATTATTACCTAGGCTATAATTGAATTTATTTCGGGAAGGTTGTAATTAAGGGGTAATTAAGGTGTTGTAAAACTATATTGACTCGATTATTGCTCGATTGAGTTGGATGATTAATCATTCATAGACGTAATGAGTTCCAAAATTTAGATACAAAGTATGTTAGGTGATTGCGAAAACACTCGAATATCGCACTCGGTTTTAGTAATCTAGGCATTACACGGTACCAGTAACGTGTACATATAAATTACTAACATTCGGTAATTGTGCAGAATGTTTATTGCTTGCTGATGAGTCCCAACAAGGATGTAAGCGGTCCAAAAAGGACGTTTTCCTTAGTAAACACCTCAAAGTTAGAGTATTTAAAAGTAATTTGTATCTCCGCTATTTTCTTTTTGATATAATTAAATGGCTCTTGCGGTATTAGCCAAAGGAGTAGTGGTTTTCAGTAGGAAAAGGGTCGCGTAACATTTCTGTGATACACGGTATTCGAGTTTCTCCTATTTCCTTTATTTTTGGTGTAAAAATTTTTACATTTGAGTATTGCGATTTGTTTCCTTTGTCTGTTATTATCATTTAAGTAAAAATAATTTTCAGCCCACCTGGTATGCTAGGATTGATTATAAGCAGAGTTACTTGTATTTTACTATTTTTTACCTCTTGATAATATTTTGTGGTACTCTTTGAGCAACAATAACAATAATACGTGAGGCAAAAAAATATTAAACACCAACTTAAAAACCGAAACACCAGGGTATGGTGAAATAAAGTATCATGAGTGGAGTAAAATTGGAACTCTACTCGTGTTAAAGGCCCAACTTTCGACTTTTACCATCAAGGGTGCGACTGTGGACTGCCATAGGTGAAAGTGTTAACATCCATGTGGAAATCCAGACCCAATTAGGAATTGATAGAGAAAATTTCACTCATAATGTTATTGTAGCCGATATCAAAGAAGATGTTGTACTAGGAATGGAGGTAATAAACTTACATGTGATTAAAGTTGGTATTCCTACATCCATATGTGAACAGTACCATGCCAGATGTTGTACAAGAGGATATGGTGCTACCTGGAAGAATTGAAGCCATTATTGTAGTACAGCTTCAAGAAACTATGGAAGAAGGAACACATGTCATGATGGAACCTTGGAACCACATTGAAGCGGTTGGACCTGAAATTCTGATCGGAAAATGGATGGTCATGACTGCTAAAAACATTCCAGAATGTCTTATTAAACATTAATGACTATCCAATTAACATCAAGAAAGTGATCAGAATCGGAAATCATATACTAGTAGCTTCCATAATTCGTCAGACAACAACTTCTGATAATTTCAATGACAAATTCAAGGAAATGATTGCAGTTGCTGTTGAATCCCTAAATAAATGATAGAAACAGAAAATAAAGGAATTTCTTCGACTATATCGTGATATTTCTGCAACAAAAGGAGAAAAAACAGGAAGAACTTCTGTTGTAAAACATAAAATTGACACTTCAATCAGCTCGAAGATTACCAAAAACCAAGAGAGAGGAAGCTGAAACGATTGTTCGGGAAATGGAAGAAAACAGGTTGATATAATCTTTTACCAACCCATGGGTCCCTCCGGTAGTCCTACTCTAATAATAGGATAGAACTAGGAGATTATATGTAAATTACCATCAGTGGAATATTATTACTTAGAAAGGCAGTTATCCTCTGCCTCGATTCAACGATAATTTGGACACATTACTCGAAAGTAAACCATTTTCTACCTTAGATTTGAAGTCTGAATATTGGCAGGTGGAAATGGACCCAGTAGATAAAGAAAAGACAGCTTTTACTACCGTTTCTGGATTGTGGCAATTCAATATCATCCATTAGGACAATATAATGCCTTTACGCCATTTGAAAGACATGCCTGGTATATTTAGACGATATCATAGTCTTGCGAATGACATTTAATGAACATTTGAAAAACTTAGATACCAACTATTTTAAAATAAAGTTAATTACCTAAGTCATGTAGTTAGCAAGGATGGCATGGCTGTTAAAGAAAAAGTCACTTTTATCAAAGAGTGACTTAAACCAACTGATAATCATCAAATAAGAAGTTTTCTTAGGCCCCTGCTAAATTAAGGCAAGAACAAAAAAACGATCAAGTTTTAAAGAAGATGGGACAATGGAAAGAGGAAAATCGTCGACCTACTTGGAAAGAAGTATCAAATCTCTCTTCAATAGTTAAATCATATTTGGCGCAGTGGGACTCTTTCTTACCGGAATTGAAGTTATTAAAACGAGTACTAGAGAATGATAATGGCTCCGAAAACAGAAGACAGTTAATCATTCCAAGGACTATAGTAGCCGAAGTTCTTCGGCAGTTACACGACAGTTCATCAGGAGGATATTTCGGTGAATAAAACCCTTCAGAGGGTTCGTAAAAAGTTTTATTGCATTAACAGTTCCGATGATGTAAAGGACTGGTGTAAGAAATGTACCACCTGTGAGTAATGGACTTCAATGAAAAAAAGAAGACCCCCATGAAGCAGTACAACGTTATATATTGTTGTAATGACTGCATTTTTTTAACACCACGTTTTACAATTTTACTCTCCCAGTCTTTAATCAAACAGCGAAGTCTGGAGAATACCTATCTATAAAAATTGTAATGCAACTGGTAAATTTTAGGCGAATTTCGTTAATATTAAATAATTGCATATTTTGTCTCTACAATAATACTTAGGGCAATTTCCAGTAGAAGTAATTACGATAATTGTAAAAAATTTCAGATTTCTGCAAACAGTAGTAAAATATGAATTTCTTTCCTGTTTTTATAGTTATTATTTCATAAATAAATGCTAGATTACGAATATATTGTATATTAAAGTATATTTCTCGGTTAATTTAATAGTAATTTTTTCCGAGTGTCACAAATTCTAACAATTATAAGATAATGATTCTGCCATCCCTCTTAAACCCACGCAGTAGTGGAAACAGTTCGCATGTCACAAGATTAATCTTTTCCACCTCACTATAATTTCATTTGGGCCCATCAACAATGGCAAATTGCCTACATATCCGCCGATGGTTTTCTTAATCGTTTTCGAAATTGCCGGTGTCACGAACGTTTCTCATAGAAAAGAAAGAAAAGTAATAATTGTTGGCGGAGAACGGCAGTCGGCAGTATAATCGGAAGAAGAAATGTGGACACCCGCGAGCCGTTCCCACGTTAGCGGCGGTGCGCTAGAACCACGGGACGGCCCGTCGTCGTTGGAGAACGAAGAACAAACGAAATCGCAATTGCAAGTAAGTACTGCCTTTATAACTGTTGTTTAAATCAATATAAAGGATCGCGCCGAATGACACGGGATACGGGTCAGCGATAGTATACAGGATGGTTGTAAGAAGGAATACTTTCAACTTATTGAAGAATACCAAAATACTGATATTGTTATTTAAAATACCACTCCCATTTCTGCTGTAACCCTTTGCATTGTACACCGCTCTACTATTACCTCAGTACAGGAGCTGTTCTCTCTATTTAGTCTCTATTATGTGCCGAATTACTTCGTATACAGTGTAACCAATTTCTGATATCAGCAGATGCTGCTACATCAAATTTCGCACGTTAAAGATGTCTCCTGTGTTTATCAGGAAGTTTTCTTGTTGATATTCCCATCTGGGACACGCGACTAGTGTATGTTCGGCATCGTCCATCAGGCCACAGTAATTACAATCTTCTGATTCTGTTCTTTTTCGGTCGTAAGTATGTCTTGAAATATCCGGGATTGGTTCTATGTTAATAAAAGGTTTCACCGGCTACACACTGATGTGTTGATGTTATCAAATGTAAAATGACAACTAACTTACTTTCTTTTTAAGTCCTATGAAGTAGGCATCACTTCAACAATAAGTTTAAGGCCACAGTTCACTTATTTTGTAAAGAAACATACATAACTATCTGAACACAAGTGAATAAACTCTTTTTTGAAGTTATGTACAAGGTCTAAG